TAAATTTCTGGTTGACTTGGGGTTGCTTTTTATGATTGTTGTTGTGTATTGAATGTGGAGGGTTCGGTACTTTTGTGCGTTTCAATAGGCAGAAAGCTTTCATTATTTAGTATATCTAACACTTCAAACATATTCTCTATGAATATTGTTTGTTATTGGATTATTTAAATTACAATTGGTTGCAATGAGAATTACATTTTATATTTGTTTTTACGTTTCGATTTCCAAGTCCTTTAAATTTTAGATACTTATTAAGGTGGGTACACATATGCTCCGAATACCGTCTCGAACCCCGTCGCGTACAGCGACGCGATCAACAAAAGTTCGCGACGTTGTTACAGGGGGCATTGAAATAAGTAACGAACCGAACACCGCTCCGTACTTTGTACCAAACATTTTAGCGTTCCAGTAGTAATTGAGTTGAATTCGCATGTGCAAGATGGATGTTGCTGCAGCAGCCTACATTCTTATGCATTATTTAGTTAATAAAACGAAAAATATTTGTGAAAGGAGATGGTCCATTCCATTTTGATGCACTCAACTTTAAAAATACCGTCAACCTTCAAAATAATAGACTGACTATTTTGAATGACTGGAGATTCGATAAAAGATTCGCAAGCTAGTCCAAACATGAATTCGCGGTGTACATTGCCGCGCTCAAATTTCTTTTGATGCGTAGGTATTTTACCGACAACCGATGGATCGCTTCGATGTACGTTGTTGACGCGTCGAGGTACGGTACGCGGTTGCATGACTTCGTCCACACTTAAGAACGCGACGGGGTTCGAAACGGCATTCGGAGCATATGTGTACCCACCTTAAGAAATAGAATTGTGCTCATAATGTTTACAGTCTCCAAAAACTGCCTTGTGGGTCTTTAAAGTTATGTTTATATATCTAATTTATGTACTGTTATATTTACAAAATATGCTCTACTACACATGTAATACTGTTCATATAAATATCTAGGTAAAATGCTTCCTTCAAAATTAAGTAGTACCATTTGCCTAGGAATATATGTTTTTCGTCCATTTACATCATATTCTTTTGTGTTGAGAGACTTCTGTTACTATTATGCTGGATATTGGGTTATCAAATATATATTTGTCATCAAAAGCAGTGTCTACGTTTCTAATTATGCATTTTCTTTGAAGTAGGATATTTGGAATATTTGCTTTTAGTTGCTCCTCTTTTAGATTTTCATTTTTTACTATATTATATGCATCTCTAAAGCGTTTTACTTGTACTCTTCCCGCTCTTCCTTGCTATACTGTAATATGTGAAAAATCTTGTTTTTAATCCTGTCGAATTTTCGTTATTTTATCATAAAATAACGAAATCTTATTTCACCCTGTACATACAATTGTATTCATATAAATATCTTCCTAAATAGTTTCTACATACATTTTGAGTAACTGTTAAGACATAAAAACTTTTTCAAAAATACCGCCCGGGTGCTATAATACGATTCCCGTTTTGAATATTTGACTGTTAATTCAATCCGAACACTCTTTTCTTGAAAATATAGTAAATATTCATTAGAAGGTTGACCAAAAAAGGTCCCATTAGATGTAGTTCATTTCCGATCGCAATAATAAACACGTCAAATTGTAGACTACCCACCAAGTTAACGGTATTTTGATATTTGAATATTCTTTCTATAAATAGGCCAACTCTGGCTATCCTTTTAACTTTCCGTTTGGAATTGGGTTTTAAGATCCTCTGTTGGTTAAATTAATCAATTGAATTTGGTAACTTGAAATGCAATTATTTCTTAATATGTGCTCGTTATTTTTCTGACTTTCATCTTTCACACTTTTACTTTGTTCTTCATCTCTTCATGTATATAAATCTCATTGTTACTGTATTATAAGGTTCAGGCTTTGACTGGTGTACAAGCCAACTTCTTCTACAATTAAGACCCGTATTCCTCGCTAATCCAACCTTCATAATAAGAAAGTTGACTACACAGCCAGGTCAGCACACAGTTGATTAATTTTACAGTTTAATCGGAGGTACTGTGAGTACAAAATCCTTTTCTTTTGCTTGAAGATTTAAGTAAAGTTCTTTTTTAAGAAAATAACAAATGTAAAAGAGATTAAATACAGTTTAATTACAATCTAATTGTTTAACATATTTAACCCACGTGTAACATGTTTAACCCAAGGTGGTAACTGAACAGTAAATTTTATTTGTTCTTTTGCATATTTTAAACTTAATAGCACATTTTTTGTATTTTTTATTTTTTCAACACAGTTAGTTCATTAAAGAAAATACTTAGTAAATAGTTAACTAAAGAGATTAATAAGACATCTCCCATGTTATGACATAATAAAAACCTTTTTCAAAAATACCGCTTGGAAGCTATAATACGATTTCCGTTTTAAAACTTTATTATCCTTTGTGTAGTTGCTTATCCAAACACTATTAATCCGGTTAAATCTTAAATCAAATGTTTAAGTTTGGGCTAAACACAGGCCAATTTAATACAGGTATACCGATCTCAGTCAGATAGGTGGTGGTAACTCATCGGGTATGGACTCAGGCATTATCGTGAATTAAAATAAAGGCATAACTAATAAGTCCCACATATGGAACCACATGTTTCTCCAAAATGTCTCTGATGTAACGATCCGCCGATAAACCTCCTCCACCGTTTTCCCATCTGTGGAAATGCCTGTCCAAAGCATACAAGAATCGCCCCCATGTGACACAGTTTCTTGTATACAATATTGAGCAGATCGCTTTCCTAGTCTTCTACTGACTCAACGCCTCTTGTCTCCATTCATAGTCATTCCAATCCACATGATTGCGAGCAAATTCTAATCACCTTTGCTTCTGGGTTGCTGTTAGTTTGAAACCCATAGCTGACTGTTGGTATTAGGTTGGCTGTCTTCATTTTCCCCCTGACTGTCCAAACGTTGGTAACCTATATAAGCTCTTTTTTGAGAATAGCACCATTCAAAATGTTGATTTCTCAAGGATTTCAATACAAGACATTGATAATGTCTCTCTGTTCTTCTTTGTTTATGGGTTCCACCTTTTTGGCAGACATAATCAAGAGTATCTTGGTACCAACAATATACTCAGGACAGTGCTGATTGGTTTAAATTTAGTTGATTTGCCATGGCCCTCTGGCTCAAGCTTTCTCTCAATAATGCTACTACTGTGGTATCCATTTGTAATGCACTTACAAACTTCATATAAGTGACTGATGTATTCTTGAATTGCAATGGAAATTAATGTGCACGATGCTAACTGAAATAAATAAGTAGTGAGTGTCAATTTCAATGAGTCAAATTCTGCCTGCTCTTAAAGTGTAGTTGATATAATAAATTTTGTTGATTTGAACAAAGAGATGTTCCCCTCCTTAATTTCATGTCTTTGTTGTTTAATATCATTCCTTCCTTATGTTTCTCACCTCTAAGACCAACCCCACCCATATTCTACCCAGATTGAGCAACAGTGCTTTGTCTATTGGGTACCAGTGTTTTAACATTAATTCATCACAATCTAGATCATTAGGTATGGTACAGTATCAACATAAAAATAAAATTTTTTATGTAAGCTAATTTTTTATGTAAAATATGACCTATCTTTATCGACTGTAATTTACCAATATTTTGTTTATTTTTTCAATAAATAGTGGGGTTTAGTCCCCACTTCCATTCGAAACGCATTTTACTGTGCACTGTATAATTCCACTTACAATAGAACCTTTCTGTCTTTACGTGAATTTTGATTTCGCCTTCGCGCAACTCCATGGTCAGGAGTGTTTGCACATCTTTATCTTGTTCCATATTTTGGATTACCCCATATCAGGAGGGGAGTTTACAAACAAAACCAAAAATAACTTAATGACACATTATCCCATGACACATTATATATTCTTTTATTCTATGTTGACAGATACTTGGCATTTTTCATTTCTTTTTTGTTTTCCTAGATGTGTATAAGTCAAAGTGTATTGTAGCGACTACTCAATGAAGGTGAGAGTAAACTTATTCTCAGAAATGAACACAATTGTCCTAATAACTCTGAAGATAAAATCAAAACAAGATAAATTACTGATTCTAAAAAAAGAATGCAATGATATTATATTGGAGATATTCATTGAAATAAACAATTATTTATGAAGTAAATTGATAAAGGGAATTGTCTTCTTGTCTAAACTAGATACTGAGACAGAAGAGCTGATACAAAAACTAAAGAAAACACAAACAATATACAAACCCAGTTTTCAGCCCATCAAAATGTTGATTTATTGAAATCAGCTAGAATTTACTTAAGAGGCCTAAATATAGCTATATGATAATTTATTTCTAAAGCTCTACACACCTATCATAGGGACCTCGAGCTGCTTGAATGATGTTGCAAAAATTAGCTCTATAAATTAATTGTAAAGCCAGATATAATGGTACCTACTGTTATAAACAGATATAAATGCATTACATGACTCAACACACTTGACAAACAAACATCATGATATGTTCTTTTATACTTAACCCTGTAAAGTGTTATATTAATGAATATATATGCATCTATATCCATTGCTTATACATTCCTCTGTTGAAAATTTGTTTTATGTGATTAACATTCTGACTATATAAAAAGTGATTTTAAGTGTTAGGGTAGCATGAAAAATACATGACTAACACATTAGGTTTACAATTTTTAATCTAATAAATTACATTATGCCATTTTCCCAGTTTATTATTTAATGTGGAGGAGCCAGGGGAGTAAGTACATAGCTTAACTATGTACCTATCAATCAAATATTGTATTTCCTTTATACATTAGAGCAACACAAACAAAATACATATATATGAGTAAACCTGAGCCGGCAGTGTTACAGGAAAATTTTATGAGTGCCTTGTGATCTTTACTAAACTTCAGTCTCGTTTTGGCTCTGTTGATATGGACTCATGCAATAACACTACTTATTTTTTAAATGATGAAGTTTAGGAGTAATTGTAAAATATATGTAACTAAGTACTTACCAAATTTTTTTAAACCATTCTGGCTGTTTTCACTTGTTGGACTATAATTAATTCCAATATTTTGCCTGTGATTTTTATTGTACACTCTTTTGGATCTTCTTATGTTTACACACTTATCAAAGAGACCATGGAGATTCTCTATTGGGAAATCTGTTCCTATTATAAAAGTAAAATGTTTTATGACCAATCTAATGGATATACATTATTTTTTACATTTTGTTGATAAACAAGAAACTTACTTGAGCGTTTAGGAGATGAAATTAAAGCTGATTCATGTTTAAAAAAATCTGGAGGGATCTAAAAATGAGGTGATCAGAAAAGCCCGGGAGAATTCGTAGGACGTAACCAAACTCACCGTGATTCTTTTAGGGACAATATTTCCCTCGGTTTTTCTAATTTTCCCACCATTTCCGTCAACTGTTTTAACACTATCCTTCTTCTTTTTGTAATTTCTTCTCTGATCTTTATACATGATTTCTGTGTCAATATAAGATAATTCAGATTTAAAATTAAATAATACTTAAAATTTAATTAATTTGAATTTTACTCCAACTGTCAAAATGGGTAAAGAAATCAGCTGGCTGTATGTTTTGTCTCGCTCCCTTTCTTAAATTAAAATAAGATGGATAGTTGAATTATTTTGACATATTGCTTATAACCAGGATTGGCTTAAGGCACCAAATTTATAGAAACAGTTTTTTAAAACAAATATAAAACAGAACATTCAAAAGTTTTTAAAACATTTATTTCCAAAACCTAAATTTGATGTTTCTAGAATACAAAAAAAAAGATAAAACAGAAATAACTGCAAAAAATACATTTAATTTTTTTACGTCATTTAATGTTAAAAACAAAAGGTGGCCTAATTTGGGATATCCGGGTGTACAAATTTGAGACAGGTACCTCAATTTGAGAGACTATCCAAACAGCCCTTTCCTTCGCAGAAAAGGCAAATAAATGTGTTGGACTTTATTTCTCCACAGTCTTCATGTTCCCACCTGCCACACTGGTAACACTTTGCCCATTGTTCACCATATCTATCGTCGGAAAATTTGGCGGTACAAAATAGACACTCCGCGTCGTTTTCTGCACTCTCGTCGGACGATGAAGCGCTAATGTAAGGTCTCCACTGCTGTTTAAGCTTGAACTTGAAGAAACTTTCCATTTCCTTATTGATGTTTTGCCTTTTGGTGTAGAAGCTCGACCTACGTATTCATGTACTGGTATTTCTTCTTCGGGCTTTCTTTTTTTAATTGCCGTATTGCCAAATTCCAGTAAGAGCCTAAGAAGGTATCTATTGAATTCCGACAGGCAACTGGGATACTAGGCCAGAAGACCCCAGGGTAGTGCCGGATTAACCGTGTTCCGGCTAAAACCTTAACCACTGTTCCAGAGAGGTGGTTTCCCCTCTGTCCTCCTGCTCCTTTTTCTTCATCGCCCCAGAAATCAGACAGTGTACTTCTCTCCATTCTTTCTCTCCTCTCAACTTTATGTTTACAATGTTTCTTTCATCCAGCCCGAAACCCATCTCATTTGCCGATCAATTCTTTGCTAATATTTTATGTTTCTCGACATGTACACGCTTTTAACATTTTATATGCCAATTTTCATTCCTTTGCATAGTCAGTTTTTGTTACTTTGGTTTTTGCGCTTCTATTAGCACCCATACAAGAGTATTTCTTAGCATTCCTGGCCCATTTAAAGTCTGCGTCGGATTAGGGGCCTTTTCTTTTATTACTTCTGCCGTAATTATTTTTCTTGAGCAATACAATGCGTTAGTTCCTCCATGCATTTTACACCGCTATACAAACACTTTCCTATAGATTCCACTCTGCAATTGGCTGTCTGATTCACGACCATAAAATTTTATGCCTATGTGGCATAAAAAGACCGTTTTAAGTCGCCAGCTGCCACTACCCAATGATATGGCTATGTTCACTTTGTTTAGCCTGTAAGTGATGCATTTTCAAAAAAGCAGCACGTAGAGCTATCAGTGAGAGTTTACTGTCTTGTGAAGACCAGTTACTTAAAAACATCTCGACTCTATGACTATTGGTGATTCCGTCTCCAACAAAAGGTACCTACTGCATCTACACGGCCCAAACATCCAAGAAAAATTAAACTGACCGTGTATAGAACACTAACAAGACCAGTTTTAACATATGGAGTTGAAACGTGATCACTCACACATAATGACCAAGATTTACTTAAGCGTTTCGACCGAAAGATTTTCTAAGAAAAATATACGAAGAATATATAAATTACTATTCAAATCATACCACCCGTCAAAAATATAATACCGTACTAGGTATGAAAAACAGGATAATGTCCATTGTTGATGACAACTTTCTACAAAAAAATCGGGACATATTATACAAAATTTTTCTTAACAACGGCTATCCTAAACAAATTAAAAAAACTAGTTTACAGCAGTAATTTCTATGATGGTTCCGTCCATGATTCTCACAACAAATCAATCAAATATAAAAAAACTCCCCTTTATTAAGGGTCTAATTCATTCTGTCATATTCATATTCAAAAATGTTCCTAATATTAGTATAGCCAATTAGTATACCATGAACAGCAAACAATTATTTCAAAAATCAAAGATCCAGTATCAACCCTATATAAAAGTAATGTTGTTTATGAAATACCGTGTCTAGGATGTCAAAATAGCTACATTAGCCAAACATCACAATGCCTAAAACAACGCATCACACAACATAAAAGTGTTTGCCGCTTCGGAAAAAATACTTGTGCAGTAGTTGAGCACTATGAAAATACCGGTCATATGCTTGACTATAACAAAGCTCACATTTTGGCCCAGACTGATAACTAGAAAAGTAGATTATTTCTTCTATGTATCACATAAACAAAACAAAACACTTTAAATTATAAAACAGACACTGGACAGTTCTTCTTCTTGATGTGCCTATCCGTTACGAATGTTGGCGATCATCATGGCAATATTTATCTTATCTGCAGCAGCGCGGAAAAGCTGCACAGATGTTGTATTGAACCAGATCCTGAGGTTCTTTAACCAAGATGTTCTTCTTCTTCCCGAACCTCGCTTTCCAAATATTTTTCCTTGCAGGATGGCTTGAAGGAGAGCATATCTGGATTCATCTCGCATAATATGTCCGAAGAAATGTAACTTTCGAGATTTAATGGTGGTCAGTACCTCTCGGTTCTTATTCATTCTTTTAAGGAGAAGACAAACTGGACAGTTAAGTAACATATATTGTAATGTATTGAACAAAATTTATAAATATTCAGAATAGCTAACATTCACCTTCATAACAACTAACTTTAATAATTCATTAAAGAAATATCATTCTCTTTTTATCGTATTGCTGTGGGGAACATGTTTCTTCTTTTTAAGGTGTCGTGCATTTCTGCGTAGGCGTCCACCGTACATCGTCTTATCAGATGAGATGTTAAATAGTCAGGATTAAATAATTCTGTTTTTAGCAGCATTGCGAAGCATTTCATAGCTGTGGATTCCTGTCCATTGTCGAATATTGCGCAGCCATGACATTTTTTTACGTCCCAGACCTCCCCTACCCACTATCTTCCCTTCGAGTATCAGTTGCTGGAGAGTGTATATTTCTCCTCGTAATATGTGCCCCAAGTATGCAGTCTTCTTACTTTTTACATAACTAAAAGTTCCCTATCCTGTAAGCCTGCTCTTCTGAGTACTTCCTCATTTCTGACCCTGTCTGTCCATGATATTCTAAGCATTCGACATAGGCACCACATTTCAAACACTTCAAGTTTGTTAATGGAACTGGCCTTTAACGTCCATGCTTCCATTCGGTACAAGAGAACAGGCCACACGTAACACTTAAGCATCTTGTATCGGAGGTTGAAATCCAATTTGCGATCAGTCAGAAACTTACGAAGACTCAAAAAAGCATTTCTGGCTTGTTCAACTCTGCTCTTTATTTCATTATCGGGGTCCCAACCCTCGTTGTTTTTGTGTTGTTGATATTTATTTTCAAACCCCGAGCTTCACTTGCAAGAGTTAGATCATTTAAAAGGCATTGAAGATCTTCGATGTTATTTGCCACTATGGCTGTTGATATTATTAATAAATATGCCGTTAACATTAATACCCTTGTTAGAGTCTGCAACTGCTTCTGCGAAAGCTTTTTCTACGTATAAATTGAACAGCATTGGAGGCAGTATACAACCTTGCCTTACTCCTTTTTTAATGGAGAAATCTTCGGTTTCGTTGAAATTTTGAAGCGTACTGATGCTTTCTGGTTCCAATACAGATTGGAGATAATTCTTATATCCTTGGTATCCAATCCCAACTCTTACATACTTTCAGACAAAAACATACTTTCTTTGATCTAAACAATCCTGTATTAATGTTTGCTTACTAAAGATCGCTTCTCTCGTGATAAGTCCATTTTTGAAACCAAACTGACTCCATCCACTGACCTCTTCACATTCCTTAAACAATCTAGTGTGCAGTATTCTCAGGAAAAGTTTTAAAAAGTGACTCATTAGGCTTATTAGTCGGTGGTCCTTGCAGAAGTTCGCACGTGGTGTTTTTGGTAGGGCGATAAATGTAGAGCGAAGCCAATCTTTTGGAATCTGGCCCGTATCGTAGTTGTCGTTAAAGAGATTGACAATAATGTCTAGGTTTTCTTCATTCAGTAACTTAATTGTTTTTGCGTACTTATCATCTGGTCATGGGGTTTTGTTACTTTTTAATAGTTTGATAGCGTGTACAATATCAGCTTTCAAAATACTTGGGCCATACAAATGGTCTCCCAGTTGTAGTGGTTTTTGTGTGGAACATGCTTAGGGCAGTTTTAATCTTGACATTCAAAAGTTTACATACTTCAATGTTAGTTTTATTTGTCAAATCTTTTAATTTCTGTGAGTGTTTTTTTAAATATATTTGTATATTATTTTTTTGTAATGTTCTAATTGTTTTATAGTTTACTCCTGATGAAGATATAAAATAAATGGCGAAATATATATATATATATATATAATATATATATATATATATATATATATATATATATATATATATATATATATATCTTCTAAAATAACAGTTGATCTGGTAGATGAAAAGGGAGTTGAGGTTAATTTGGTATACAGCTGTTTAAAAATGAAAATTGGCGAAATATAATGAACTGTTGAACAGAGTGCACTTGGCTTTTAATCAGCTGTATACCCAATTAACCTCAACTCCCCTTTATATATATATATATATATATATATATATATATATATATATATATATATGTATATATGTATATATATATATATATATATATAATATATATATATATATGTATATATATATATATATAAATATATATATATATATATATATATATATATATATATATTATATATATTATAAATATATATATATATATATATATATATATATATATATATTTTATATATATATATATATATATATATATATATATATTATATATA